GCGCTCGTTTTTCTTCGTCTGTTCCTCTTCCCTATGAATTCCTCTTCCAAGCCCAAAACTTCTCCCCCCCTGCTGTCACACACAGACATTCATTCATCTGGCTTTCCTGTCTTCTTGTTATTTCCTTTTTATCTCTGTGCTTCTCTTTATTACTCCTCGTATCCTCTTTCTAATCATACAGGGCCCCAAAAAAGTTGCAGATTTCTGTCTTAACCCTCTAAATCCCGAAATCTGCCAACAGGTTTAAAAAGCATGTTATCTTTTTTTCTTTTTCTTTTTAAATCAGCAACACTGTAGAATTCATCAGAGCCAGAAAACAGCAACAACTTATCTGTGATGTGCCATTTCTGCAGAAAACAACCAAAATCTGACCTGATCAAAACTACTTCATCCTATGTGTGTTATCGAAAGATTTGCCACAAAATAAGCTGTTTGCATTAATTAAAATCTATTAAATACCAAAACTTCTGCACACCTCTGCATAAGTCATGAGTGACTCAGTTGTCGCCAAAGTCTAATAACAAAAATTCTGTGACTTTCTGGCTGCACTGAAGGCTGTGTTTACACAGAGCAGATAGGGAAACAAATTTAAAATGTAAGCAGTAAATTCACTTTAGTATATAGACGCACCATGTTTTTTTTCAGTACTGATAACACCTGAGGGCACTTGGAAAAATGCTGGACGTGCTGATTCCTGATTTTTTCAATTCAAACTGTCTTTATTCCTTTTTTTTTCTTTTTTATGATTTATGGCATTAAAAAAAAAACAACAAAAAAAGTTGAGTTGAGTTCTCTCTGCTTCTAGTCAAGGTTGTGCTGTTTCCATACAGGTGCAAGACTTTAGGTTGCAGTGAAAAAAATAAACCCACATCGAGTAAAGATGTGATGGGAGCCAAAAAAAAAAACACCCAGAAATTGCTTGGAGGGCTAAAGGTCAACAGTTCACTGTCCTCTGCTGGCTGATAAATGTGGTCAGGAAAAAGCCAGACAGTGGAACAATCACCTCTTTCTCTACAGTAAGCTGAAATAGGATGAATAGCCCTTGAGTGGCACTTATCTCCCCGATGCTGTGAGATATTGCACCGGTCGTTCAGATGTGAATATGCTGACCTGTGTGGCAATGACACAGGTACAGCCACAAACTGTGTGCTATTTATACTGACTGTCCTTTGCATTTATTATCTAGCCAGACATATAACACAGCGACATATACAGACTTAACACAGATTTAACACATTTTCCGGGACGGCTGCAATATTTTTGTCACAAGTTCTGGGAGGCGGTAACCGCACGTACAACTTTTGATTGGTCTCAGCAGGACCTGTGAAAAGAACCGCGTGTTGTGCAGTCCTAAAAGCAGACAGTGTGATTAGTTTTTGGAAAAAAAAAAAAAAAAAAAAAAATCGATGTAATCACACAAATTTTTTTCTGCTACAGAGGAAAATAAATTTGACTGATCTTTGAGTTTGGCATTTAAAGTGTTTCAAGTTTCGACTCAGAAACTTGTTCTAATTGCGGTCCAGACACAAGGCTATCAAGTCTAATTTCAAGGGAGAAACCTCGCAGCTCATCCTGAAACAAGCATTAAAGGACCAGTGTGTAGGATTAGAGGGTAGCTATTAGCACAATGAAATTCTGTTTTTTTTGGGTATAATCATCTGTAACTACAAATTACTGCTTTCGCTCGCTTAGAATGAGCCCTTCATATGTACATAAGGAGAGGAGAGAGTGGAGTTCTTAAGTTAAAGTGGCAACCACCATTAGCTCTTCTACACACTTAGAAACGGAAGGATGAAGGAGGAGCGTTGAGTTTGTTGCAATCCCCACCCTGACTGCTAGATGCCACTAAATCCTCCACGCTGGTCCTTTAACTGACCGCTGCTATTCTAGCCCAGCAACACGTCCTTAGCAGTTGGCAAAAACACTCAAATCAGCAGTGGGTTAATTAAGCCATCAGAATGGCAGCTCTGGATACAGCCAGGAGGCTACGTGTGTCTGTAAATCATGTCCCAGTTGGCTGTACTGAAACAACCCCACTGAAAAGAAAAACATACAGGTCAAATTTAGGCACAGGCGAACGTACTCTCAAATATCTCGTCTTGTATTTCCCAAAAACAGAGAGCAGGGGAAGAGAAAGAGGCCATTGACCTGATGTACCACAACTTAGTCGGCTCCACTATCAGCATCCCTGCTGCCACGTCTCCCCGCTCTGAGTCTGACTGTTGCGGCTTGGCCTCTGATTTATATCAGCTTGCTTCCCTGTCACCATGGAGATTAATGGGTATGTTCTGACAGGTGCAGAAAGCCCTGTATTAGTCTGTCAGCAGCAGAATCAACAATAAACACGTGTAAAGCAGACATGAGGATGCTATTGCTTGAGGCCAGTGTCATCCCAGAGGGATTAGCAGAACTTCCCATCAAAGCCGCGGCAGTGCCAAGCGAAACGCCGCAACAAATGTCCAAGGTGGAGCGTGCATGTAGCTCATTGTGAGAGTGCAGGGGCATTTGCTCACTTGTGCATGAGAGGGCTTGCCTTGTTTACAGTTTGATTGGCAGTTTAATGTGTAACTGTGGCAGGGGGGGCGGGATTGGCGCTGCGGAATATTAGCATAATTCCCAGAGTGCCAAAATCGGTATTGGGTGTCAGGAAGCTATTCCCAAACTCAGCTGTGACCTACAGTAGCAGTGGGTCAACTTACCCACGGGCCAACAAACAGACGCACACATGCTTGGCCAGACACACATACGTTCACCAACTGGGACTCCTACAAATTTATCTGCATGCATATGCACATGCATGAACACATATGTTAATGCATGCACACATGAGCACCTGGGCATATAAGAGCGCTTGGATGCACATAAAAACATCCTCATGCACATATGCAGGTCCATTTACACTGTGGCGACAGTGAGTCTGTTAGCGGGATGCCATAGTACGGAGGGGTGGACAGATTTAGGTCTCCCTCACACCTCGCTTTGCCAGGGGGTGGAGGGGGTTGTAGGGTAATGATACCATTAACACTTGGTGTGCCAACAGCCCTACCCCCTCCCTCTGTGCTCCAATCAGCACCTCTCATTGGGTTTCTCTGCCCTCCACACAGCAACAACTGTTATTCACCTCTCCCAAAATAACACAGCAGCCAATCACAGGGCAGGAGGAGAAGTGGTCGTCAACACAGACCTACTCCTTGACCGCAGGTGAAAGAAGGACACTGAGAGGAAAAAAACTAAAGTGGACCCAAGGGCAGGGGGAAAGAAAAATAAAGAAAAACAATGAAAGATGAAGAGTGGCAGGAGATTGGAACAAACGTAGGGCCAAAGAGGCAGAGAAGCACAAAAAAAAAATAAGATGAAAGCGGGATGGATGGGCAGACAGGACGGAGGAGGAATGAGATTGTGTAATGATGTGTTCGGGTGCTGGCTGTTCTGTTCCGACTGTGGCAGCTACCATGGTAACCTCATAAATAGGTGCCCTACATATCAGCAGGGCATAAGGTTACACAGCTCGGTAAATAAACACACACAAACAGCAGCGGGAGAGTGGCGAGGAGAAGGATAGACGGAGGGAGAGCAGCAGAGAAGCAAATTAGGAGAAATATCAAACGGAGACAGGCGAGGAACGGGAGAAACTGATGAGTTGATACTTGGTGTCGGTGTTAATGGGTATTTGTCTGTCATGCATAATTACCTAAATCCACAGTGTGCTGTTGAACACCCACATCAGGCTGAGGTAAGCCCCCCCTTTCTCAGATTATTCACTGTAGTGTCAGCACCTTACGCACACACACACTCACAAAAACACACGCTCCAGTTCCCTCTCTCTATCCCTCTGTAGCACAACCCTAAATTACCGTTAAATATTCCCCTGTGAGGAAAGCAAAGCCAACACACACACACACACACACACACACACACACACACACACACACACACACACACACTACAGAACAAAATACAAGTCAGGAACCCGGAAAAGTCAACAAAGAGCCACTCCTAACACAATGAGCTGTTCTGTTCCATGATTCAGAGCTTTGGCCTTTCGGAACACAGATAATGAAACTGCATCAGCGTGTCCATCGCAGTCGATTAACATGAAATGCTGCAGCTTGTTCATTACAGCAGAACCCTGTTGAATGACAGCAATAAAAATCTTCACCTGGATATTTCATATATCATGCATTGAAAGCGATAGACGCCGGGACTGAACAAATACAGTTTGAACAAATGCAATTAGCATTTCGAAAAAGGTGGCAATATGTGGCCAGATATACATTACAGCAGGGTTTAAACTGTTGTGTCAGCAGTCTTATAAATACATGCAATCATCCTTGTGTGACAGCCATGCGTTTAATGGTGTGGAAATGGAAATCTATTACACTATGAACACTGACCTAAAAATTCACTTCAAATCAAATGTCAGAAAATGGGAATTACATATATTTCCAATATAGTTTCATTCAAATTGCCTATTTTCAAGTCCAATACTGTCAATCAGCCTCCATGTCTGTCACCTATTCAGTAACTCACAGACTGAATCTTATGCTATAAATGGATCTAAATGTGACAATGGTTGTGTTGCAGTTGTTTTTAGATGTGTATATATAACGCCTGACTCAAATGATCACTCCACTTTGCTATGGAGAGCTACAGTGAACATGAATTAACTCAAAGCTCAACAGCATGCAGATATCCTCCGAAATCAAGAAATGGGAATAAAGACAAGTGTCTCCACAGCATGACAGCTTTGTATGGTATTATACTCCACATACCCGCAGTGATGCTGTCTTCCTTAAAGCAGTGAAACTAGTGTTTCATACAGAGAAAGCTGAACTCAGTAATGTCTTTACATTACTTCAGTCCTTGAAACATATATACCTTTATATTCCTAACAGCAGTTTTAAATGCAAAGTGCAGCTGCAATTTTCAGTAAATGTCTGCCTGTGTCTGTTTTTGTTCGTTAGACTGTGTATTTGTGACTGCGACTGTGTGCCACTTACTCTGATCACTTCTGGAGTTTGCTGGATGAGCAGGGTTGAACCACCGTCTCTCGCCGCAGCAGGTTCAGCAGCAGCAACGACAGCATCTCTTACTTCTGCTGCAGCTGGGATGGCGACAGTAGCTGGAGCTTCAGGTACGACGACAGGTGTGGGTTCATCTACATGCGTGGAGGAATGCACGCCTGCAGTTGCAGATGTTACCAGAGCCGGGATGGATTCTGCGTCAGCCTCACCTGTAGAGGCTTCTGTAATTTTATCTGCAGTATCAGCTGTAGGCCCAGGTGAAGGTGTAGGGAAAAGTTTGGGTGCAGCATCAGGTGTTGGTTTAGGTGCAGGCTCAGGTGCAACATTGAACTCGGCTTCAGGTGCTGCAGGGACGGGTGTCAGTGCAGGTGAAACTGCAGGTGTGCTTGCCAGGGTGTGTTTTGCCGGTAAAGCTGGGACAACACTTGTGTGCACCGATGGAGCAGTGGGAGCAGCTGGTAGGTCTGTGGTTTCCACAGGGGTATCAGCCCTGCCAGTGGTGGCCAGTGTACCCTGCAAGAGCTTCATCACCTCCCGCTCCTTTCCGCTGTTCCTCTCAGCGCTCCCTGTGCTCCCTGCTCCAGAGTCAACCAGCTCTTGGGCAAAACTCTCAATGCTCTCAAGGATTCTCAGCAACAGTGCTCCATCTTCTTCCTCTCCCACCACAGCTTCGTTGCTCTCTACTTGGGGAGGAGCAAGATTCTGGGGAGTTCTGGAGCTAAGACCATTCATGGTTAGGTGGCTGGCTTGCTTCTGGACTTGGAACTGGGCCATTTTGGGCTGAGTGAAGGACTCGTTGGAGATGATTCCTTGGCCTCCTTCTCTCTTCCTGGTCTTGGCTGGAAGTGGAGGCTCTATGCTTCTGGGGTGGCTCATACTCTGAGACAGATTCTCCAAGTCCATCAGCAGCTTGTCAATGTCGTCATTTCTGTGTGCTGCTGTTTTTGGTGCTGAGGATGTTAGCGAGGCAGAAGATGGCCAGGCAGGGCTGTAGCCAGAACTGGTCGGCAAACTATTTGAAGAGTTATGGAGTGTGTGTGGTTGGGAAGGGTGCAGGTGTTGCCCCAACATAATCCCATTTTTGTTTTGGGTAGTGTTCACACCTCTAGTGGGAGTATGTGTCTCCTGTGTGATTTGTTCTGGTGTCTTTCCCACATCCGCCTCCTCCTCCTCAATATAAAGAGCTTCCATGGGGGATGCTGGAGGAGTGTGCGTATATGGTGGGGTTGGGGACATACGAAGAGGGGATGGAGAGTGTGTTGGAGAGGAGCTGGTTGAAGAACATGTGATAGACGGTGGAGAGAGAGTGTGTTGTGTGATAGACGAAGGATGTTGTAGTCCATTGGTGAGTGGACTGGCTCTAGGCTGAGCTGAGCTCTGGACTGGTTTGTTATGAAGAGAATCTGATTTAAAAGGTGAGGAAGAAGGTGAAACAGAGGAAGAAATAGAAGATGCAGAGTGTGGAACAGTCTTTGGAATTGGAGGCGACTGCACCACATCTTCGTAGCGGGGAGGTTGCTCATTGCCAAATATTGGAGAATAAGGTCCTTGTTGGATGGAGTGAAGCGTGTTTACCAGCTCAGCCAGATCGCTGTGCCCACTTCCAGGTGCACCCTGACCACCCTGCCCACTGCCTCCCAAACCTCCAATCCCTTCTAGCTCCAGAGGCAATCTTTTTAGATAGGAGCTCAGTCTGGTCATCACAGCCCGATACACACTGTCAGGACTTGCTCCTCCATCCTCCGGCCCTCCACCAGCTTTGCGTCTGATGCACTGCTTGATGATATCGGTGCATTTCTTTAAGTCTTCAGAACATTTAAGCAGGATGTCAAGGCAGGCACGGATGTCCTCCCCACCTGCTCCACCACTGGCAGCCTCCGCTCTGGTTTTCTCCAGCAGACGGGCAATTAGATTCTCCTCTCCCAGGGTGTTGCGGTACAGGGAGGCAACTGTGTTTAGACTTTGGTCCAATGACGCAATACTTGAGAGGCTGTTTGTTGAACCACCACCCACTTTGGTGATGGATGACAAGGTGCTTGTGCTCGCCTTTAGCTTTGTCTCCTCCAGCCCTGTTCCTTTGCCCAGCACAAACGGTGGCAGGTTCTCATCATTAGAAGTGGCCATGCCATTTGTCATGCCATTAGTAGTTCCGTTTGTGGCAAGGTTGGAGCTGAAGTGGCCATAGATGATCTCCAGATCAGTGGAGCGACGACTGAAAGAGTCTGGACGGACCTTGCGACCTTTCCGGAAGGTGACATGGCTGGAGGAGGAGAGTCGGAGCTTGTCAAAAGAAAACTCCTTTAGCTTACCACTAGCCAGGTTGATGGCCTCTTCAGTAATGTCCTTCAGACTGCCAGAAGCGCTCAAGTTGCCAGTTGATCCAATTGCACAGGGGGTCTTTTTACCACGCCACGTGGGGCTGTCCTCCCCTAAAGACAAATTGCCACTGCTGCCTGCCCTCTCTAAACCACCATTATGATTAGTATCCATGGTAACACAAAGTTTAGCATGGTTAGGATGTTGTTGAGAGATCATGTTGCGGGAGTGGATGGGTGAGCTGTTGAGATCATTGTATGCAGGGTCAGGTGCAACCAGCAGCTCGGAGCAGGTGCCACGGTGTGCGACGGTACAGTCTAAGCCCTGGGACAGCGCCCCACATGGCCCCGAGCAGTAGTGCACAGCATGGGAGTGAGTGCGTCGGTCCACTACCACACTGTTGTAGCAGCTCACACTGCTCACAACAACACGATAGGCTGCTGCCATAGTGAACAATATTCCTCAGGGCATAGAAGGGTCAAAATAATATCAAAGTGTTAAACTATTTAAAAAAAAAAAACACACAGTAACAAAGAATCCTGCTGGATAAAAATATTTTCCTGAAACTCCTTCAGTTAAGAGAGAAAGGGAAAAAAAATACGTCCAAATACTGCATCATCTTGAAAAAACATGTCTTTCAAATGCATGATGACATTTTTCACAGTCACACAAAAGCAGCAACAAGAACAAAAATATTGGCAATCAACATCTGAAAAAAAAAATACATACAACTGTGTATTCCAAGGTCGATATCCTTCTCGTGCTTTCAACTCTCTTGCAGAGGCGAAAAAATTCCTCGTCTGAGATCTCTGGGCCTCTTAATAACAGCTGTAAGGTTCCTCCTCTCTCCACAGGCACCTTCTCCGTTTCCTCTCCAGCAGCAGCTCATTAGCCACTAATGATAGCCATGGAGAATGGTGACAGCGGAACATCCAGCTGGGGTATCACCCATCCCGCCACAGAAGTAGCCCCAGGGGCCTGAATCGAGGCCAGTGAGACCTTAACATTGCCCTAGCCTGGGCTCATCCACTGGGTAATGAGATGTAGGAAGAAGCCCCCTTTTCCTAGCAAAGCGGAGGACCATTCGCTGACTCCAACACAGCTGCAGAATAGCAGGGGACCGACCACAGATGGCCGACTGGCTCTTGCTCTCGATGAGTGTGTGTCTGGACGTCTCTCGCTCCCGTAGTCTCCCTCACCCCTTCCGTCTCCCACAGTCAGCCATGTGTCACAGGGAGTGTGTGTTTCTGACAGGGGGACACCACCTGCGAGTCAGCAAACGGGGGAGGGAGGGAGAATAGAGGGTGAGAAAGTGAAAAAAGAAAACACAGAGAGAAAGTAAATCATTAAGATTGCACTGGGCTTTCTGCACCATCAACCTCCACACAAAGACACTTCCAGATCAAAAAGAGGTCAGGAAGGGAGACACAAAAGTGTTAAACAGGCAGAACAGCAAAAAAGACACGACTCCCTGTTTGGTCACAGCAGAAATGTCTTTAACGCTGCTGAGAAATCACGACTCGGTTAAACAGAGACAGGTGTGGCGGGGCGAGAAGACACCTGTTTTGATCATGTCTCCATACCTATTTTTTTTTAGCTCAAACATATTTGTCAAAATTTGTCTGAGCTATTGAGTTTAATTCTGTTCAACTTCCGAAGACGCAAAAAGAGATTCGTACAAGAAGAAATACAAATAAGTAGGGAAGACGAAGTTACAGTGCAACTTTAAGCACAGTACCGTGCAAAAAAAATCGCTCAGATTCTTATCCATCAGGCAACACCATCTGGGAGATGGATGTCAAATCATTTGGCAGCACACGACAACAACCCCAACATGCAGCCAAAGTCACAGAGAACTTTCAGTGACAAGAAGATCAAGGAGCCCTGCAACAGATGGTTTGGCCCCCACAGAGTCCTGATCTCACCATCATGGAGTCAGTCTGGGATTAAATGAAGCGACAGAAAACACGGAGACAGCCTAAATCCACAGACGAGCAGTGAGTTTTCTGCAAGATAAAGTACTTTGAAAAACAGTGCGCAAGTGTGCCGAAGGATTAATGCTGTTTTAAAGTCAAAAGATCAGCCATACCAAATATTGATTTGATTTGTATACTGTGCAAAAAACTTTGCAAGCTACACTAAATGTAACGCCAACTACAGCAGCTGCTCAAAATGTGCAACACGGAGCTCCTTAGAACTTTATTGCAAGCCAAAATAAACACAAATACTCCTCTAGAGGCTGCAAAATCTGACTTTCATGCCCCCAAGTAGCATTCTTTAGAAATGAAAGCTGACAGAAAGTGGAACATGCTTCAGAATTTAGGCATACACATTTAGAGTTTTGATTCTTTTTGCTTGGGTTTTATTAAAATACAAACATTTCAGCGTTCTGAAAAACTTTCCCTGCAGAATGACATCTGTTGGAGAAGCTGTTCTGTACAGCGAAAGAAGCTGAGCAACGTGCAAATACCAGTTTCATGCCACATACCAGGAACTAACGGAGCCTGACGAGAGGGTAAACAGACTGTGCAGTAAACCTGTAAGCAGGACCAATCGGTGAAATAATTTAAATGCCGTGTTAAAAGAGTGAAAAGAATTCAAAAATGTGAGTGCCCACTTCTTTCAGTCTTTTTTTCTTTCATGTTCCTTTTTATTTCCCTGTAGGTCTCTTCTCTTCTCATCAATTCGTTTTACATGTCTTTACGTCTTGCTTTCTGCTATCAAATGTGCCCATTTCTGTTTCTCCCTGCTGTCCCTCCCACTCCAGAAGCACAACACATTCCTCAGCGCTGTGCCCTCCTACACATGTACGCCCATATGTGCTGCATATATCATACGTATACATTAACTGCGATAGCCCAGTGAGATAACACATCCACAACCACGGATATAACCTCAAACCTAATCCTACAATGAAGCAACACTGTGCAGGAACAAAACAGTCAGGGGATCTGAAATTCACAAATCCAAAGAAAGAAACTTGAGAACACTTCAAATAATTTGATTTGATGATGTTTTTTGAGCATTCAGCTCAAACATCCATCCATTATCTATACACCGCTTAATCCTCACTAGGGTCGTGGGGGGGCTGGAGTCTATCCCAGCTGACTTAGGGCTCCAGTCTATCGCACTTCGAGACTTAGAGACAGACAACCAAGCACACTCACATTCACACCTACGGACAATTTACAATCACCAATTAACCTCAACATGTTTTTGGACTGTGTGGGAGGAAGCCGGAGAACCTGGAGAGAACCCACGCTGCACGGAGAACATGGAGACTCCACACAGAAAGATTCCGGTGCCCCCACCGGGATGCGAACCGGCGACCTTCTTGCTGCGAGGCAACAGTGCTACCAACTGCAGCCCCAGCTCAAACATACAGACACTAATAGTTTATTTAAGTTCACGATTGCATACCTGCGGGATGCAGGATGTTCAGACCGACCACAGGAAGAAAGAACAACAGTGAAAGGTTATTACAACTCAGACTGAGAGCGCAGATATATGATCTGTAGTGGGTTTCTCGCGGAAATTATGGAGATGGAGTTTCCTCCTCATAAGAGACTGGGAAGAGAAATGGGGGAAGAATGATTGGTGGGAGAGTGACTGGCAAAGGTGGGGATGGGGAGGGGGGGGATTTGGCACCTGGAAAAACAATAATTAAGAAGCTTTATGGAAAAAACAGGCGGTCACCTCATCTCGCTTTCTCTCTCCTTTCTTTCCACACAAACACACGCAACAGCTGGATGCTGCTGAATCAGTCTCTCGAGCAGGAAATTGCACTTCCTTGGCAAGCTGCACTTGAAATGTGGACAGACGGTTGGAAATAGACTATTATAGGATGGTAATCACACACACACACATTTACACACTCCTGCCTCCTCGCTGTGCACGAGCTAAATATCTGCGTGAGTCTAGCTCGCTTAAACGACAGCTTCCCAAACTGATACCGAGCGTGTAAACAAACTCCTCTGGTGTTTATAACGGCGAGCGGCCTCCACACGCCCACGTGCACACACCCACCCGTGAATGTCCGCACATGCCTCACTGACACATATTGCAGAAAAAGATGATTCACTAGTGAACTCGTTCTGTGGTGTGTTTTCAAGTCCTGCCCTGATTTAGTGGTAGGTACATGGGGTTTTTTTTTTCTTTCCTCTGGACATATTTTATGGGCGAGTTAGCCGAGAATGCGTGTAGGTATCAGCTTTCAGTTGAATGTCAACAGGGCAGGGCTTAAAGTCAAAGACTGGGCAGGAGAAATGGACATTTTCAGAAAAAGTGAACTCCAAGAAGAGGTGTATTCAGGGTGAAATCATTAAACTGATGCAGATTTCTTTCTGATTTAAAGTTACTGTTCTCCAAGCTCAGAGTGAATGCCCTCCTAGTTTTTTGTGTTTTTAACACGAGCACTTTCATGCAATCTGAAGTGGAATTCTTATCCTTTACTTCCTCTATTTCCTTTATCTTTTCAGGGGTTTTACTTCACAACAAGTGGAAAGTAGTGAACCAAAGTCCTTGTAAGTCTTTCTGAGAAGACTAGAGGTTATTTGTGACTATCTTCTTGTTCCACTTCTCTCTTTGACTTTCCCCACCTCTCCTTGCCTCCCGTCCTTCTTTCTCCTCCATCTTAAAAAAAAAGTAGTCCAGTTCCTTCAGCCTGACCTTCACCAGGAAGCACTAAATCACCGGAGGCCACTTCTGTCACACCCTCCCATCCAGCCACTTTAAAGTATGTCCCTGCATGTGTGTGTGTGTGTGTGTCAGCAAACGTGCACAGAAAGAAGTGCTGCTACAGTAATACGTTGGTGCTGTTTGCTGTGCATGTGTCTGTCACAGCAGAGGGGCCAGTGGGGCCTCCTGAGGGGAAGTGGGTCTTTGTGAAGAAGAAAGCCCAAATAGGAACCCCAAACATACCCCCAGGGAGCGAGAACAGGTCTATACTCGCCCACTCGTTGCACACACACACACACACACACACACACACACACACACACACACTGATGCACAATTTCAGTGTTGCTACTGAGATCCCACAGAGAGAACAGAGCTCTGCAACGCTGAACACATACTAAACAGAACCGAGAGAGAGAGAAAGACTCGTGGCTCTGTGGGTATTGACTTCTGCCCCTGCAGTAGCTACAGAAGAGGAACTATTGGGCTTTTTAAAAAAAAAAAAAACAATATAATTTTCTTCTGAGAAACACACATGCACAGATTGTGAGAACGCATCCAAATTTAAATATTCTTGCCCGAGTACTTTTCACGAATAGCTTAAAATGTCAATTTCAGACATTTTAGGCTTCATTTCTTTCTCGCACATTTTGATCTTTACAAATGTCCATCGAACTAACTGCAGTTCTGACCCACTTCTCTGCTTCTTTCTATAATTCTCACATGAATTATTTACTCTGACTTCCAAGTGTCTGCCCGAATCCACACACACACACACACACACACACACACACACACACGCTACTATATTCTCTTGACAGCAGAGTCAAACTTCCGTAGCAAAAGTTTGTTCATCAGCTCTGCATCAGTCGACCGTCTAGCTGTCATTCTGTGGCAGAAAGACAAAGGGGGCAGACAGATAGATAGATACTCTGACAGACTGTTCTGTCCTCGTCGAGTCCGGGCCACATTTCAATTATCATCACTTTCTGAGCCGGCTACAGCTGCAAAAGAAACACAGACGGAGAGAAAAGGGAGAAAGACTGACAATCAAATCAACCGTATCGTTTGTGAGGGTGAAAAAAAAATACTCCTGTAATTCAATTAAGAAAATTTCAATCCACTTCTTTTGTTTGAATCTAAAATCAGCTCTAAAGTTTTGGTGGCTTAACAGACAAACAACTTCCTCACTGGGCTGGAATCAAACAAGCATCTTTTTTTTCTCTACACCAAAAAGGCCTAAAATCTAATATATATATATATGTAATGTAATATATAAAGCACAGCAGGAGGTTTCTGTTGCCAGATGCACACGATCATTAGGTTTTTTTTTCCCGAGGTGGAGAGCTGGAGTTTTGAGGGTCTGGAAGGTTAAAAAGAAAAAAGCCCTGCCAGGTCCCACAATAAGAAGAGCTACTATGTGAACCAGATGTCTGTACTTGAGCCAAAACACAGGCAGGGGGGAGAATCAGAGGGGATTTCTGACACAACAAACGATTAGGGGAGGTTTAAGGTGAAAGAATACACCTGTTAAATGAGGAACAGCCTGAAAATTATAGACCTGCTTGTACTTTTTTAGAAAGCTTGA